AAAATATCAAGGAAATAGATATTCAAGGAAAGAAAAGGATGTAGTTGATTGTAGCAGGAAATCAGAAACAACAAGTGCATCAAAGCTTAAGAATAAACATAACTTTAATGGTGCAACGAATTGTGATTCTGAAGTCGACAATTTTTTTTTTATATGTAACTTTAGAGTTATTAAAAATATATTTGAACTGTATTCTACATGCAGTGAGTGTAATAGCAAGCTAACTTTTTTGCATAATAAATCTGTACGTATGGGATTTTCTATTGGAATTATAATACAATGTTCAAACTGTGGCTTTGAAAGTACATTTTATTCATCTCCAACTATAAATCAAAGTTCAAAACCTGGTTCAAACCCATATGAAATAAATTTACGAGCTGTTATGGCATTTCGTGAAATTGGACATGGTAATGAAGCTATGTCTACTTTTACTGCTATAATGAATATGCCTCCACCTCTTACGAATCACAGTTATAATCTTACAAACAATAAATTACATAAAGTTTAAAAGGAAATTAGTTTACAGAGTATGAAAGCTGCTGTATCAGAACTAAGAGAAATTTTAAATGCAAATGCTTCTGATGATGAAATTATTGACTGTGGCATATCAATAGACAGAACATGGCAACGTCATGGATATTCTTCCCTAAATGGTGTTGTTGCTGGTCTTTCACATGAAAATAAAAAGGTGATTGATGTTTTATCTTTATCTAAGTTTTGTATGCAGTGTGAAGTACATAAAAGAATTAACAATCCAATTGATTTTGAATGTTGGAAAGCTACACATAATTGCCAGGTTAATCATTTTAGCTCAGCAGGGTCAATGGAAGCTGCTGGAGCTCAAGAAATATTTCATTCGTCTATACAAAAGTATAATTTAAGATATACTAAATACCTTGGAGACGGTGACTCAAGTTCATTTTCTAATGTTGTTAAAAGTAAACCATATGGTGATTGTATTATTGAAAAACTAGAGTGTATTGGCCATTATCAGAAAAGAGTAGGCTCTCGTTTGCGTCAAAAAATTAAAGACTTTAAAGGCAGGTTGTTAAGTGACGGCCTAAAAATATCGGGAAAAGGAAGATTAACCAATAAATTTATTAACACAATGCAGAACTTTGTTGGAATGGCTATAAGACAAAATAAAAATGATCTACTGTGTATGAGAAATTCTGTAATAGCTGTACTTTACCATTGTACAAATTTTCCTTATGAAGTTACTCGTCATCAATTTTGTTTAAAAGGGAAAAACAGCTGGTGCAAATGGCAATCAGATAAAGTTACAGGTAAAACAAGTTATAGACAAAAAATTAACTTACCTGTTACAATAATGGAGGAAATTAAACCTATTTTTCAAGAACTGTCAAACCCTGAAATACTAAGAAAGTGTTTACATGGAATGACACAAAACTGCAATGAGTCATTTAATGGTTTCATATGGCAGAGATGCCCTAAAGCTACTTTTACTGCAAGAAAAATTCTTGAAATAGCTGTTTATTCTGCTATTTTAAATTACAATGATGGATTTACTTCTTTAAGGTATATTTTTAAAATGCTTGGGTTTACTGGAGGTATTTATTTCGAAAAAGGAGCTTTCAAAAAAGATAAAAAGCGACTATCAAGTATGTCAAGAAAATCGACTGACATGAATAAAAAACGAAGAAAACATTTAAGATCTATAAAAAAAGGTTATTTAGACATTGAGAAAGAGAATGAAGATGTAAACTTTTATGCTAGTGGCAGTTTTTAGTAACTTTTCACAAAAACACTTTTCTTTTTTACATTGTTTTATTTTTAAATGTGTTTTTTAGGACTTTCTTATTTTTATACAGTTTTCTTACAAAAACATCAATATCTTCAGTTTGGTTAAAGCTATTATCTTCAAATTTTCACAGTATGTGTATTAACTTATTTATGAGGGCTGGAACTAAAATTGTAATATTTCAAGTATAAATAAATTATTTTCAATATAGTTTGTTAGACTGACACTGGCGATTAATTAGTTTTTGCACATTTATTGCTGCCATTTTAGTTTTTTTCCACATTTGGAAAAAATTTTAGTTCCAGCCCTAAAGCAATTATTTAGCTACCATTTGGCAAAATATAGTGTAATAAGTGCAAATTTTACTCAAGATATCATTGTTTTAGATAAGGTAAGATTTTGGACAAATTATGCTGACTCAGCATCAAAAAATGCAAATTTCATTTTTATTTTGAAAAGTTAAAGTTTTAATGTAATTTCCTTATATAAAAAATTAAAAACAAGTTTAGAACTTTTATAAACAAAAAGTTAGATTTAATGGGGGTGAGCCACCTTAAGGTGCTCCAAGAAGAACTAATGGTCTAATCACAAAGCACCGCGGAGGACATACTCAATGACTTCAATCATATTTTACCATAAATTGATACATTTCATTGAAAAAAATATAAAAAATATAGTTTAGAACCACATTACCCCACTAAATGTGGGTCTATGGAACCCAACTCCAATGGATGCTCCTTAAACAACTTTAAAAATTATAAACTTTAATCATGATTTAAAGCTTTCTTCAAAAAATAAATTGTTTTGCTATATATATATATATATATATATATATATATATATATATATATATATATATATATATATATATATATATATATATATATATATATATATATATATATATATATATATATATATATATATATATATATATATATATATTCCATTTCCCCCATTTAATTATTTACTAAATAAAACATAAAAGTATATATGACCGCAAAAAACTTTGTAAACAATATATATATATATATATATATATATATATATATATATATATATATATATATATATATATATATATATATATATTGTTTACAAAGTTTTTTGCGGTCATATATACTTTTATGTTTTATTTAGTAAATATTTAAAAAGAACAACAACAAACTTCCATACTTTTAATCTGTAGAATCAAGTTATTTTTTTAATATTTTGCTGTTTTTGTATGTTGAATATAAATACAATTTTACATAAACAACCAACAATGTTGTGATTTTTTAGTCTTTGCAAGGGCGTATTTGAGTTAAGACTATGGGGGAGAGGGGTGGAACTAATTTTTCTTCTATTCTAACTAAAAATAATTTACAGTCGATTACCTATAGCTTTGTTCCTGTTACTCATTCGCGTTTCGCGTTAATAAATAAAAATAAAAGCATCAAATTGAATTAAATATTTATTTAACAATATATACAAAATATATACGAACATAAGGTTGATAGTAAAATACTTAAATAACAAACTCTGTTTCTCTTTGTCGAAATGTCTGTAAATTTTATCATGAATGAATATAATAATATGCCTGTGAACATGCACCAAAGCCAAACCCATTAACCGATTTTGGCCTATTCTTGATCTTAACCATATTTTCAATCTACAAAAATATGTTTTAGCCCAATTTATATTTCATAGTATCACTAATTTTATTTGAGTTTTTTTTTTTTATTACAAAGCAACCAACGTCGATAGTAAATTCATTACACACATTTATTGATGTACTTACAATAGGTGGTTGACTATTCTGATCTTTAATTACTTGATTGAGGTAGATCTGAAGAACTTGATAGTTTTTCGATATCGACATTTGATTTACTCGAACTCGGAGAAATATCGTTAGTAATTTCATTTTTTAAGCGTTTGTCCAGCCAATGCAATGCTACACAAAGTTTATTATCCATTTTGATAATAAACTTTGTGTAGCATTGCGTTTACTCATATTAACATTAATAGTTAAGCTTTTAAAATTAAATACATATCATCTCAAAACAAAACGCAAAATAAAACAAAGTTTTTTTAATAAATAATAATCCATTTAGTCATTATCACTACCTACTTTATATCATGGCTAAATACTTAGTATAAGTTAATTGGTAATACCACAGATTATATGATACTAGTTCTGTTTACTTGGAATGTAAACAAAAACCAGAATATTACTGTTCTGTAGTAATACAAAATATATACCAACATAAAGTTGGTAGTCAAATACTCAAATAATAAATAAAAATAATTTTAATGAAAATGAGAACTATAGACTATATTATTTAAGTATTTGACTATCAACCTTATGTTTGTTTATATTTTTTATTACTACAGAACGATATTACTACCGTATTATACGGTATAGACCGTATTACTACCTTATACGGTATAGAAGATTATTTTCTATACCGTGCAAAAACTATGAATGTTATCACCAAATCAGTGTAACAACAGTGCAGGCAAAATCAGTGTAACAACAGTGCAGACATAAAATTCTTATTAAGTATGATACCATTATGATTTACGATCTTTATCAAACGGACAACTTTTTAAATTAATTATTTTTAATTAATATATTAATTAATGTATTATTTATAAATTAATACGTGCTATAAGGGGAGGCGGGGGAGGAGGAGGGGAAGGGGAATGCCCCTTCGCCCCCTCCCTCAAATACGCTCTTGATTCTGTGTGTGGCCTATTGATTAATGAAATTAATTTCCTTAATTAAATGGCTGCACTCTAGTATTTCGTTGACAAAGCATTTGATAGACGTTGTACTGTGTATTAACATTTTGTTAATATAAAATAATGTTATTGCATAGACAAAGTTAAAAAAAATCAAACTTCATATGCGTTACAATATGCAAAAAATATCTACATGAGAAAATTTCGAAATTTATGTGTGTTTGTCAGTGTTTTGAAATTTATGTGTGGTTGTTAGTGATTAATTGATTAATCAATATCAACCACACATAATTTTTAATAATGTGTGAATGTTAGTGATTAATCAATTGATTAATTAATCAATTGATTAATCACTAACATATAGTATCAACAATTAATCAAATGATAAATTGTTGATACTATATGTTTGAGGGTATAAGGAAGGTTATATGTAACTGAACATGTAATTAGAGACAAAAATTAATAATAAAAACCTTATATATAAAATTATATTCATATATAAAACTTTACTTCGTATATACTTTATAAATAAAATAACAATTAAATTTAAAATCAATTAAATTTAAAATAAATATCTCAGAATTTAACTCATAAACGTACAACTTAAAGAAAAAAAAAATACATAATCAATTTTCACCGATGGTGAAACATTGTGCAAAAGAGAATAAAAATAAAGTGCTTACTCAAAATTCTTCTTAATCTTATATCTATATGTTGTCGCTTGATAGAATCTATCATATATATCTATATTTTGTAGCTTGATCAAATCTATTATATATCTATATGTCATCGCTTGATCAAATCTAACATGTATGCATAATATGCTGTCGCTTGATCGAGTTTATTATATATCTATATGTCGTCACTTAACCTCCTTGTTCGAACTGGTAGACGAAACGGTACTTTTTTTAAAGCTGCAGAGGATTTATTCACAATAACATCTGTTTTTGTATTACAAGTGTTATTGGATTTAGTAATTTTGTCATTAATTTATGTAATACCAAACTTATAATTAGTATTAATGGGCATCCTTGTTGGAATCTCTGGTGGATCATCATCTCCAGGTTGACAAACAGAAGAGTCACATTTTTCTATAGAATCTTCTTTGGTAAGAGATAATGAACTAGTTTCACGATGTTTTTTACTACTAACTGCTCTTTTCCTCAAAAGCGAATAATGAACTATAGAACTGTTTTCAGAAAAATCAGATGAACTATCAACTTCAGGAGAATCATAGGAATATTCATCACTAGAACCACTCTCTTTAGATAAAAATTTTTTGCAACCTTTATTGTCCCTAAGTTGATAATGGTTCGAACTTTTTATTTGTTTATCTCTATCTACATTATTATTTAAGTTATTAACATTTTTAAGTGTATCAGTTTCCGTCTCTAATGGCTTATCGTATATGGGCTCATTATCAGAATCAAATAGATAATAACTTGAAGGCTCGTTTTCGTCTAAAGTCAAATTGAACGAATTGAAAAAAAGGGGTAATCTTTTTTTTTTTTTTTTTAAATAAAAAAATAAAACGTACCATCACTATCGGTACTTATTTTTGGTACCCCGGCCTTGCGTTCTCCGGGGTATGTTGATGATCGAGCTAACAACAAACAGTTTGGTTTGACATAATCAGATTCAGGTTCTTTTCCATTTAATGATTTTGGAGATAAATAATTATGATCAGTTGACAAGGGTTCGGTTGCTGTTTGAGATCCTAAAACATTAAATCCCAAAATATTATTAGTTACAATAGTAATAATGACATTTTTTTTACAAGAAATAAACATTTTTTAACAAAAACAATGTACTGATTTTATTCCTAGTATATTTAAATTCTTTTGGTGAAGAATATTTTAAAAGGTTTTCGCTAGATTTGATTGGTTTTTTCTTCTGCTTATTGAAAGCTTGTTGGTCAATTATATGACACAAAGATGCTGAGCAATAATCAAGATTGATTTCTTTTGCTAGCTTTTGAATCTCTTCTGAATTGTAGAGACCTAAAGAAATTTTTAAACTTTCAATATTTTTTTCATTTTATATTTAACAAATTTGATAATTTTAACAATAAAACTTTATAAGGTTTAGGTAAAAAGACAAAGAGAGCGCTAGCTTAAATAACTCTAAAATACCATTAGCATGTCTATATAGTGCCGCCCCTTTTTTGGTGTAAAGTTACAAAAGAACTTTGTTGTAAAATGTTTTAAATAATAGTTTAATGAAAGTAATAATCACAATTCCAATATATAATCAGTCATATGCAGTTATTAATTACCTGCTTGTTGTTCTTTTATTTTTTCTTGATGATGGAGGTGAATAGGGAAATCGGGAATCTTTTCAATGATTTTGATTGCTGTTAAGAAAATGGATTGTGAATCGCGAGCTAACTTTAAGTGTGATTCCATTACAGAAAGAAGAGATTTTTTCAACATGTCATTCTATAAATCAAAATATTATTCAGTCTTTTTTTTTTTTATTTGGATTATTTTATTACACTTTTTTTCACGGTTACAAAAAAGTTAAGATCTCAAACATTAGAAAATAATTTTTTTATATAAATTTAATTTATTATATGATAATAATCAGTACATGCAACTTTGTATAGTCAGTACATGCAACTTTGTGTAGTCAGTACATGCAACTTTGTGTAATCAGCACACGCATCTTTATGTAGTCAGTACATGCAACTTCGTATAGTCAGTACACGCATCTTTGTGTAGTCAGTACATGCAACTTTGTATAGTCAGTACACGCATTTTTGTGTAGTCAGTACATGTAACTTTGTGTAATCAACACATGTAACTTTGTGTAATCAGCACACGCATCTTTATGTAGTCAGTACATGCAACTTCGTATAGTCAGTACACGCATCTTTGTGTAGTCAGTACATGCAACTTTGTTTAGTCAGTATATGCAACTTTGTGTAGTCAGTACAAACAACTTTGTGTAGTCAGTAAATGCAACTTTGCGTAATCAGCACATGCATCTTTGTGTAGTCAGTACATGCAACTTTATGTAGTGTCGGATTAGGATCATAATAAAATTTATTAACATGACGCCGATGTATTTACAATATGCAACTGTAAGTTTAGTTTGGGAAAATTAGGTAGTAAGCTTACTCATTATTTAAATTTAAAAAAGTTTAACATTCCATCTGTCTACAAAAGTTGCATTTCTGGATGTGAACACAAATGGTTTTACTATATTTATTATTTCATTCTTTACCTTTATAAATCATATGTAAAACATATATAGGTTGATTTAACTAATGGAGTCTTCTAAATTAATTTTTGTGGTTCTTTAAATGCTTTATCGTTTAACTGAATTTTGTTTTCCTGCCTGCTTGAAAAACACTTATATTACTCAAATTTTTTAAGAACAATTTAGACTTGTTGTCTCTTTTAATAATTAACCAATCAGTCTTTTTACTATCTTCGATCTTATAACTACCAAAAATTAAAAATCTCCTCTTCTTGAGTCCAACAACTTTTATTTAAAACAATTATTGCACCTTTCTTTTTAGCCACACTATTTGTGCTGAATAAGCATCACCTTTAGTAAAAAGCATGAAATTGGATGAAAAAGACAAAATATCTGGAAATTGTTTGAATAAGGAAAGCATTGTTTTTTCTCCAAAAAAAACATTTAAAAGTTTTTTTTGAGAAAAAAAAAAAGTTAAAACAAAAGGGTATAGTTTTTCTGAACAATTTTCTATATTCATACAGCACTTTACTATAATTATAGTGAAATTAATGACTCCCATACTATTCATATACAAAACATTTAAATGGTATTTTGGAAAGAATCAACTTTAATATTATTAGGTCTTCTTGGGGAGCCTTAGAAAAAAAAAACAAAAAAAGAAAAGAAAAGAAAAGACTATACATCAAAATAAAATTTAAAACATGATTTTTATTAACTTTAACGTATTCACGTCAAACAAGGCTGCAGGCAACAACTATTTGAGCTGTAAATTATTGGAAGAGAAAATATAAAGTTTATAGAGCAAAATTACAATTAACAGACAACTTAAAAGATTGCAAATTATATGAATGAGACGCTAGCTCTTTAGAGAAAGGCCCATTATAGAGTTTATAGAAAAGAGAAAGAGATGCAGCATTATGATGGTTTGACAATTGTTAAAGGTTGGTTGCAAGACGTTTGCAAAAGGTTTGCAATAGGTTTTTGCACCTTGTCTAAAAGAGAAAGGACGTCATTCAATGATCGGCTTTAGATATGGTAACAGTATTCTATACAACAGGGTGCATCAAACGCCCCATACTTTCAAAAATTGATCTTTCCCTATTCTTAAAACTTTCTATTGGTACTCACAAGACACTCTGTTAAATTTTTTCAAAATTGAATGAGATTTAGGGGGGCCACCTCAAATCTGAAACTTACAACCAGACCCTAAACAGAAGAAAAAAAAGTTTTTCAAATGTATGTCATGTTGGGTCTCAAAAGAAGCGAAACTTTATAAAAATTTCAAAAATAGTTATGATTTTTGTTAAAAATACCTTGAAAAAAAATTTCGACCAAAAACCATGAAAAAATGGCTTTTTTTAATTTTTTGCTAAAAAATAATTTTTATGCAATAAAACTTATAATAATAAACATTATGTAAAATTTTTATTGTTTTTGAAATTTTTTAATAAAATTTCGGTTTGGGTCTTTTGAGACCCAACAGCGTCCTATGATTCAACCGAATCTCTAATTTCAATTTAGAACCGAATATGAGAAATTTATTACACAACCGAAAATATTTAGAAATATATAGAAATGGCATGGTCACATTTTCTCATTTTGCGATAACTCATTTTTAAACTTTTAAACCTATATAATTTTTATTGTTTTTGAAATTTTTTAATAAAATTTCGGTTTGGGTCTTTTGAGACCCAACGGCGTCCTATGATTCAACCGAGTCTCTAATTTCAATTTAGAACCGAATATGAGAAATTTATTACACAACCGAAAATATTTACGGAAAAAATTAGAACCAAAAAAATTTTAATCCAATTTTCGATCGAAAGTCATTAATGATTTTAGAACCGAAAAAATTTCGATCAAGTTTTTGATCGAAAGTCATTAATGATTTTAGAACCGGAAAAATTTCGATCAAATTTTCGATCGAAAGTCATTAATGATTTTAGAACCGAATTTCATTAAAATGGTTTACAAGCGAAAGTTACACTGTTATCAAACATTGTATATTTTAGAAAACAATGAGGGAAAACGAAGAATAATGAATGAAAAGGTTGCTGACCCATACCAAACCCTCAGTCGATGTAGCAGCACTCCACTGCGAGTCAGGCTATTTGTCAGTTGATGTATGTACAGAAGCCCCCAGCAGCATGCTATTTGACGTTAGGTGAAAAAGAAAGGATTTTGTAATTCAATCCAAATTTTTTCGGTTGTAAAATTCGGTTTAAAAACTTTCAGCGCAAGAAAGGATTTTGTAATTCGATCCTGCAATAAAAGTATACTTTTCGGTTCTAAAATTTTCGGTTGTGAAATATTTCGGTGATATTTTCGAGGATAAATATTTTCGGCTCTATCATGTGACACAGACCCAACATGACATACATTTGAAAAACTTTTTTTACTTCTGTTTAGGGTCTGGTCGCAAGTTTCAGATTTCAGGTGGCCCCCCTAAATCTCATTCAATTTTGAAAAAATTTAACAGAGTGTCTTGTGAGTACCAATAGAAAGTTTTAGGAATAGGGACAGATCAATTTTTGAAAGTATGGGGCGTTTGATGCACCCTACTATACAAAGACGGATATAAGGTTTATAGAGACAAAGAATAAAATCCTGACTAAGAAAATGGCGAGTACAATAAATAGATGGAACCAAGCAAATGCTAATTTTGCAGTTGATTTGATATTTAATTTCCAAGAAAGATTGGTAAGAGTTAAAACTAAAAGTCAAAGGGCAAATGACTCATCAAATACATTATCATTCATAAATATAGGAAGATCTAGATTTAAGCAAAAAGTTTAATCTGAGTTCAAATTCACCAGTTACTGAGAGTCCCATGCTGTCGGAGAAGTGAGATCCTTTTTAAGGTTAAATGATCCCTCCAAACAATCAGAGTGTTGGCTTTTTATCAAAATAAGAATAAATGGTAGTAGCGTCAACAAACAGCGCCACCTTAGTTTCTGAAGGATCATTAACTTGAATTAAAAAAGTATGGGGAAAATGATAGAACCTTGAGGAAACTATGGAAAACAAAACTCAGATAAACACTTGTTAAATAGTTTTGACGGTATAAATGACATATCCAGAGAACACAAGCTATAGAATAATCTAAGCATGAAATTACTTTAGATACAGAAGCTGAAGTAAGAATTTTGTGCAGCCGTGGCACAGTGGTTAGAGCGCTTGCTTTATAAGCAGGAGCTCGAAACGAGCTTTGGACATATTTTGCGTCACGGTAAGGAAGGAGGCGTGAACTTCCTGGTTAAATTCAATTCCGCGGTGCTCTGTGACAAGACTGTAAGGACTTCTTGGGGCACCTAAACAAAAAAAAAAAAAAAAAAAAAAAAAAAAAAAAAAAAAAAAAAAGTCAAGCAATGGATTAACCTGTTTTTTGGTCAAATCAGGTAGGGATATGATTAGTGGAATGAGATTAATGTTAGATAAGATTAATAAAGATTGAGATTTGACAGTACTAATTTTATTTTGGCTTTAGTTTTTTTTTATGCATTATTTAAACAATAAAATTATTTTTAATTCATAATTATTATTACTTTTATATAAATATAAGTACTATTGTAAATATAGATTTTACTAAACTCATTGTTTAATCATCACGTTTTATAGAAAAAGTATAGTTTTATAGAAAAAGTAAAAATACCTTATTAATCTCAGCTTTCAAAGTTTTCACTTCTAATACTAAATTTGCTTCATAAATTTCATTTTCAATCTTAAACAGATTAAAAACAAATATGATAATAAAATAATTATATAATTAAGATATCATAAAAATGCTACAATGAAAAATTTATATAAGATGTATTTGATAATAATGATACAATGCAATAGCAAAATTTTAATGATTCAGTGACGAAAGAATGACAGTGATCTACCGATTGTAATTTTTTGGCTAATGACAATACAAATACTGATGTTCAACAAAAAACTGATACTGAATAATGCAGAATAAATGTTAATTATAAAAATATTCCAAATTATACAAACCATATTTAATTATAAACCATATTTATAATTATAAACAAACCACATTTATTTAAATAACCTGAAATAAAATGTTAATAAAAAAATACATGTTAAAAATTAATTAAATTGGATGTTAAAAAAAATTTATTTTTGAAATATGCATTATCAATAAAATATGTATTATGAATAGCTAAAACAAAAAACTCATTTTTTAATGAAAATAAAATATTTAGTAGCTTAAATTATATATTATAATTATATTAAATAAAGTAAATAAAGTCTGAGTTTAAGTTTAAGTAATAATTATTGTTATCATTGCAGCATTTTTACGCAGCATTCTATTTTAGAGTTCAAGAAATAATCTCCTATTATTGTTATGAAATATAAACATCATATTCTGAGTCCTGATCTTTAAAATTACAAATTTAAAGGTTTAAATTTTAAAAATTTTCAGTTTTTATAGTATGTACAATAAAAAGTTAAACAAAAACAACACAAAAAATGCAGATCTCAGAGCAAAAAAAAATCTGCTTAAATAGATGATTCTAAACATGCCTCAAAAACTGATTTGATAACAGCATTCCAATTTTGTATGGTAATTCAGTATATGATATAGATAAAAAATCTTATAAAGTATAAAGAAAAACTTGGATGATGGGTTGAAATTTTGTCGCACTTTCTTATAGAATACCTTTAATTAGTTCTTAAAATTATTGATACACCTGAAAGATTTTTATTTATTATTTATTTTAGTTATCAAAATTATTGATACACCTGAAAAATTATTGATACACCTGAAAATTTTTTACTCAAAGAAAAAAATTATTAAAATATAAAATTGAATTTTTTTTTTTTTTTTTTTTAATTTTAATTCACCTCCTCAAGGCCGAGAAGGCCACTACAGACGAGGAGGCTACTTATTTGTGGTTATAACCCTCTCTCAACTCTATAACTCCGAAACATGAACCTTGACGAGCAAGGCCGCTGCACGGAGAAACGAGTTGAGCGCGGTACTACCAGGGACGTGGTGGGGATCGAACTCGGAACCACTCGTTTATGAAGCGAGCGCTCTACCACTACACCACTACCGCATTCAAATGAGAAAAATTCAATTTTAATTAGTTGTAGGTATCAATAGGTCCCCATCGATTGGGACACTGGGTTAATAACCACCTATAACTTATCAAAAATGAGGAACTAGTTGCTAATTTCTGAAGGGTTTTTCTTATTAAAGCCTTATTTATATTTAGGTGATGGTTTTAATTTAAATATATTATTAGTGCTTTATTATTATTAGTAATATTGTTACTGTTAATATTATTATTATAACTAAACCTTTTTACTAAATTTAGGTTGGGGAAAAGTATGTTTTTTAAATTTAATCTAAACCAATTTAAATGGGAGCAGTTTGTTTTGTATCAAAACCTGATCTATAAAGTGATCCATAATGATGTATAAAGTGATCTATAATGATATAGATCTTTTTTTTTTGTTGTATAGGATTTAGATTAGAATATTATAGATTAGGGTATTATAGATTAGGATATTATAGATTAGGATATTATAGATTAGGGTATTATAGACATATTGAGATTTAAAGATTATTATTATTTTATTAATAAATTTATAAAAAATTTATAAATAAAACAATAATTTATAAAAAAACTACCCACATAATCCAAAACAGATGCCAATGATGATCACCAGAATAGATCACCATTAATATAGTAATAATATGAAGATATTGAGGAAGTAACAATAAGTTTATGGTATGATACATATATAAATATCTCATGGTAATATGGTAATATAATATACTATCTTATGGTAATATAATATGCTAATATAATTTTCTGGTGAAAATGATAAAACATGAAAAAAATTAAAAACAAAAATGAATACTCTGATGACATCGTCCTCGATAGCCTTCAAACTTTCTGATCTTGACTTTGAACTGCATTTTGAATTTTGTGTATCACTTATCTAAATTTATAAAAATCTAAATTTACAACAAAATTAAAATTCAAATCCCAAAAAACAAGTAAAAAGTAATTAGCAATAAAACCAAATTACAAATACTTTAAACTTTGTTTTAACATTTTTTAATTTTTAAAACATTGCAAAATATCTAATTACAGCATTATTTAAGAATGACTAATTTTATAGTACATAGAACATCATGCTCATGTTTTTAAGCTGCTCCGATGACGATAATGATGAAGATAAAATGATGATGATGATTATCATCTTATTATCTACTCTACTTCAATCTTTATCTCCCAAAAATGCATCTTTTTATGTTAATATTCAATCGTTTGCATCAGCATGCTCTACATCACAAAACACTTTTATGTTCCTAAATGCACCCTATAAAATACACTCATTATTCCCAGTTCTTGTCTGAGATCACTTCTTCTTTTCTTATTTTTTAGAGATAAAACACGCATCCATCACAATCTAAAAATAGGTAATAGGGATCTAGCGTCCAATAAGGTAAAACTGCACTATTATTATATTAAGGATCTCAAGTTTGAGGTACAAAATAAATACAGTAATATAAATACATTTATACTTGATGCTTCTTTAGCACATCAGCTGATCCAATCATATTTCTAAAATTTAGTTTATATTTTTCTTAAGCCCATTTTCAACACATCATTTATTTTTACATTTATTTCTTCTTACAGTCAATATAATAAAATAATTAAGCATAAAAAAAGTAAATAATATTTAGCATAAAAAACAGCTAACTTTCTCAATAATCTGTAAAAGGCTTTTTCAAAGTCTTTACAATAATTGTTAAAAGCTTTTTAGCAATTATTGTAAAGACTTTGAAAAAGCTTTTTTAACTTGATTGCACAAAAATATGCCTAAAGCTCGCTTCGAACTCTGGATCTATTACTTCTGAAGCAAGCGCTCAAATCATTGTACCATGGCAGTTTGACATATAATATTTGGCAGTTTCATGTTTATTTTCTTAGCCAAAAAAAAAAACTGCATATTATAAATCAATACAATGGTTCTTGTTTTGTTATTTACTTGTTATATACTTATTTTGTTAGCATTAACTCCTTCTAAAATCTCACTTACCTGGATGACATTTTACAATTTTTGTTATATTTACATTTGTGATTTTACCATTGAGCACAATTTCATTTCAAAGATCCGACACATTAAAAAACTACCTCCATTGTAGACCTAATTATTGCAGCCAACAAACTAAATACTAGACTAGAAAAACAAATATAAATGTGATTGAAAGTATATCTTTACTTTATTCAATCTCTTTTTTATTTATATTTATATTGATTCAGTCAAATCATTTTATTTGCTATTTTTCATTCTACACTTCCTCTTTTCTTTTTCAATTAACCCATATCCATTCCACCATACAAATTCTTTGTGTCTCTCAATACCATTTTTAAAATATCTTTTCCACTTTTTACAGAGATTTAAACCCAAAGGCACAATTCAATTTAATATTATTTCAAAATAATAGCTGTTTCTTCATAATATAATATAAAATCGTATATATATAGACTTTGATTTTGTTTTATAAAAATAAGTTTACTTTTATGCATAGCCTTTCTAAAAGCAATGTATTAGCAGTGAATACTTTTGTTTAGGCAGTTTTTTTAGTGTAGTGAGAAGCAATATGGGTCTATGATGGTAATGTGAGCCTAATAACTATGAAATTTCTTGACTTAATTCCAGTTCTTATTTTTTGCTCAAAATAGTACATTCGTTTAAACAAATTTTAAAAATTTTAAAGGTATTAAATCGTTTCTTTCCTGGAAGAAAAACTATTTAATAATTAAATGTTAGTTAAAACTCCAAAAAATTTGTTTAAATCTTACAAGAAAGAGTCAAGTGGGATAACAAACAAGGTGTTTGAGAATAGTTTTTGTTAAGGTAACAAATGAACTATGCATTAATATGTATTGTGACATTAAGTTTCCACCAAATGTACAACAAATACATTTAAAACAAAAATTCTTTAAATAAGCCAGACTTATTCAAAGATTCATTGATATAGCAATTGACGAACATCAAAAGACGAAAAATAATTCAAAGATTCATTGATATGGAAATTGAGGAGCATCAAAAGACAAAAATTAATTCAAACATGCCACTTTCTCAATATGCCACTTTCTCCATATTTCTAATCTCAATATGCTGGCTTTTAATATCAAATGCTTGAGCGACTTTAAATACTTTACTATTTCAAGTTTATCTTATTACCAGATCAGCCTTAAAAAACTTGTTAGATGTTTGTGATTGCGTTTAATATTATGATTGGTTCAAGTGCCAAGATAAGTTGTGTCCATATTAGAGAAAATATTTATAAAAATCATTTGTAATAAATTTTTTTGATAATTCAATAATAATTGCATATCAATAAAACTAAAATTGTCGTTTTAGTTAAAGCTTGCCTTCTCCATTTGTTCTTTGTGTTTGGAATTTTTATAATATACGCCACAATCTATTTACTGGATAATTTATTACATAATATATTTATTATATATAACAGTTTTAGGGTGTTTTTTTTTAAGATAAAGTATTTTTTTCCCACAATCAGCAAATCATGTTTATTTGTATATTCTTTTACTAAATCCCGAAAACTTTGTGCGATACAATTAAAAATAAAAAACATACATGTTTTGAGATTTCAGTAGTAAAACTTGTTTTTAAAGATAGCAAGTATAAATCTTTATCCATATTTTTATATTAAAAATTTAACGAAATGTTAACTTATTTGTACTTAACAAAATATATACTATTTGTCTGCGTAAGAATATATAATATCAAATTAATTTTGTAAAACTTGTATTACTTATTTTATCTACTTGAAGTTTCCAAAGTAACAAAAGTTCAATAAGGACAGAATTTGTATGGGACAGAGTATGGGACAGAAGCATTCGAATCAGGTACATCTATAGCAGCAGCTGCCTAAGTAGCTGGTAAGTAGGTGGATAGGTAGGTAGAAAGGTAGGTAAATACATTAGTTTTAAGGTAGGTGGGAAGGGGGGTAAGTAGGTAAATACATTAATTGTTCCTATAAAATTTTATATTAGTTTATACACTTATATAATATCTAATAGGAAAAATTAATGTATTTAATCATATTTCATACGATCAACAAATAACGCTTATTTTAAAGCAAATATATCAACTTATATCTTTTTGTAAAATCATTTTCTTTATCTTTTAAAAATAATATTTTACAAAAGATATATCAATTTAAAAATAATCCTGACGATTGACCAACCAAATATATTGTTTTATTTTTATTCGAATTACAAATATTTTATAGAATTTAGTAAAAAATTATACAAATAAATATGATTTCCTAATTTTTGGACAAAAAATACTTTGATGGGGCGATTGAATAATTGCGAACTGACATAAGTGCAAAAGGCCTAACTGCTTTACACTTAAGCCAGCTTGCACTTATGCCAATGTTTGCAAAATCTTTTAGAACACTTAAACCAATTGCACTTGTTTAATTTTTTGCAACTGCTTCACAATTTGACAGCTTGTTCTTTAGCCAATTCCCACTTATGCCAATATTTGCAATTTTTTTTAGCGCACTTATGCCAGTTTGCACTTATGCTGATTCGACTTTTTATCAAGACAGGTGTTTAAAGTTAAGTCATCAGCAAAAAGAACTAATTAAGATGTTAGGTTGTCAGGAAGATCATTGACGTAGGTAAGAAACAAAACAGGCCCAACGATAGAGCCTTGAGATATGTCAGAAGTTACTTGAAATGAAGAAGAGTGTTGGATTTGATAATCTCAAAAACTTTCCCAGATACACCATATGAAACAAGGTTATGGAGAAGATCATCATGCCAAACTTTGTTGAAAGCTTTAGATATGTTAGGAGCAATATCTCTAGTCTCCATGCCTCCATCTAATCCACAATAAAATCTTATAGTTACAGCAGTTAACAAGAAAGAATCGATTTGATAATCTCAAAAACTTTCCCAGGCAAAAATTAAAAATTTATAAGCCACTCTGCACCCCTATCTGTTATAGAAGAGAGATCAGGTTTAAAATTGGCTGCCTGTTCTAAGTGATCGAAAAGAGAAGACTTTTTATCCAAACAGGAATATAAAGTTGCGTCATCAGCAAAAACGAGCTTCTTTAAATGTAAGGCTGTTGTGAAGATCATCAATGTAAAAAAGAAAAAAAAAATGACCAAGATGAAAACCTTGAGGTACCCATGATTTTACTGAAAGCAAAGAAGAGTGTTGCCTGTTGAGAAAGACTTTAATAAAACAGTTAAAAAACAGATTTGATTATCTCAAAAACTTACTCAGATACACTGCAGCAGAAGAAGAAGAGACCATTAGAAAGAGAAGACCATTATGCCAAACTTTGTTGAAAGCCTTATATATATATATATATATATATATATATATATATATATATATATATATATATATATATATATATACATACATACATAAGACTTGATATAGCAAGAGCAACAGCCCTAGCCTCTCTATTTCCATCTAATACACGATAAAATCTTTTAGTCACAGCAGTTAACAAGTCAACCATAGAGCGAGAGGATCAAAAACCGTATTGCTTATCTGACAGTAAGTTATTTGAATCAATTAGAAGGTGAGAACTTTTTAGATCAAAGACTTGGAGGCCTTGTTAACAACAGAAAGAAGACTGGTTCGACAATTATTAGTGGGGTCAGAATGTTCACCTAAGTGAATGTTCACCTATGACTTTAGCAAAGGAAGCTGAAGTGATTTGAATGTCAAACAATGGGTTAACCCACCTAATTGGCATGGAAGGAAGAGAATAGTCGTATTATTTGAAAGTTGAATTAGAAGAAAAGTTCTTTGCAAATAGTTCTGCCTCACTCTTGGGAGAAGTTATTAGATCAGTCTTTTGAATGAGAGAAGGACTGTTAAAGATTTAATGAACTGAGAATAACAGAGCTTAGCATTAACAGGACCTTTTTACATTAAGATCTTGTAATAATAAATAGCTATTCGTTCACCTACAGAGTTGTTCTTTTGAAAAAAATAATGATTACGGTTAGATACAGAAGGTTTAACAAAAGAAGGTTTAACAAAAAGAAAAGTTTTAGTTTTAGCAAATATTATTTAGTTTATATCAAAAAAATTTATTTTAAACGTTTAATTTTAAACATTTTTTTTTTTTTATAGTTGTTTTTGCCAAAACAACTATATACTTATATTTGTTTCAATAAGATTTTTTTATGATTAAGTTGTATTTTTCAATGTGCAATGATGTTCTCCTTATTTTCAGCAAATGTTTTTTTCAAAAACTATATAAAGCAATTCTACTAGTTAAATTATAACAGTTATACAAGGCTAGTTTCAACTCTAGGGTGTGCTCAAAATTCAGATTAAAATTTTTTTATTCAAAATAAATTTTTAATTTAATCTTACATAACTAGTTTTTAATAGATCTAACTTTTTATTGAAAATATCCAAATCTCTATCAATTCTATTAAAAATATCCAAGTTTCCATATATTCCATTCATAATATCTGAATTTCCATCAATTCAATAAATATAATTTAAATTTTCATTAATTCTATTAATAATATCCACATTTTAACAAAACTTTTTAAATTAATTTTGATTCTTTTTTTAAATTGTTGTCATAAATAATGCACTAAGATAAAAGAGATGTCTTTACTATTTTCTTCTGAACAACAAATTACAATCTGCTTTGTGGTATTTAAACTTTTCAACGTTTAGGACTACCAGTATGTTCTATTCAACAAACCATCAAAACCTTGAGAAAAATTAGAAAAGAAAAAAATTTGTGGCCTAAGCTTACTAATTTTTACAATAAAAAAAGGATGTTTTAAAATAGTTTTTCATCAATTTTACATACAACTCACACTTGCCCAGCATAAAAGTGCAAATTATAGGGAATCAAGCTGATAATCAAAAAGAATGAAGTTGGGCCGGTCCAGGACATAAACAAAGGAATTGACATGGAGCAAAGATTAAGTAATTTAAATATAGTTTCAGAAAAAAAAGTTAAAGAAAGTTAGCCTATCATTATATAGAAAATGTTCTCATGCATTTATCTTTCTGATTTTTTTTCATTTTTATTTGAAAGCTGAAAAAGACAACAAATTAAGAAACTAAACTAAATAAACTTAGATAAACTTTTAATCAAACTTTTTTCCAAAAAACATTTTAATCATAAAATTTATATTAAATTCAAGTTTTAAATTTTAATAAAATAATATTATATATTGATTCTAAAAATAAAAAAAAAATTATATCTAACAATATAATCTATCAACATACTTATCAACATACTTTTTTTTCTTTCTGAATGTCAAATTTAAAAGTAAAAAATATACTTAGAACATAGCAAACTTAGTTAGTCTTAGTATAACTTACTTATACTTATCATACTAAAACTCATATTATACAAAAACCAAAACAATATGAGATTTATAAAAGTATATATTTTATTATATTAAAAGATACCTACTAGTTTTGTCAGTTTTTCTTTCTTTTCTGTATTTTCTTTAATTTGTATTCGTATTGCATCTAATTCTATTTCATTTTGGAGAATCTCATTTAGACAACGTCCCAACAATTTTGACTAGAAGTAAAATTTTAAAACTTAGCAATATTTTAAGATTCTTATAAAAGTAAAAAAATTATTATTAAAATTAAAGTTATTTATCTTGTTAATAACAGGATGAAAAATTTTTATATAGAAAAAATATTTATTAAGATGGAGTGAAAATATATAAATTCTGACAACTAAAGGTTATGTTGTGTGGTCGCAAAGTTGTCTGTCACAATAATATTTTTTAAGATGTGCCCCACATCTTAAAGAACAAATGTTAAAACAGTGGTTAAAAACTTGAGAATTATTACAAAATTTGTCAAATTTTTTATTCAATTGTAATATGTAATCAAGATGTTATTAGATTAGTACAAATTTTACTAAGATATTTTATTTGGTTATCATAATGTTCCCTAACATTTTTAAAAATTTAACAATTGTTGAAAAGTTTGTGAAACTCTGAAAGTTGGTACAAAACATTAAAAATTTCCAAAATCTATATAAAAAGCCAGGTAGCTTTTTGAAACACTGCAGCAGATATCTCAGTAGCAGGTTTCATAGAGCTACCAAATAATTGGGCCCGACATAGATGCTTTAAAAATTCTTGTACCAGAACACTTTTAATAGCACTACATTTTTTAATGTCAGGTTGAAAAGTGAGAAAACTGGTGATCGTGTTACTTTTAGACATTGCCAATCATGCAGATCAATGTAATCATTACCAGCATACTTTTGCTGGTTTGCATAGTTTTGGTATATCAACTTTTTGCATAGTTTTGGTATATCAAGTTCATGTTTGGTATTCAAGTTCATCATCCCGGTTTCTTGTTAATATTCATTTCTTCACTACAAATTTTTGCGTAGTTTTTTAGTGTGGATATATTTTCTGATGTCATTTGAAAACTGTCACTGTGGTTAATCATCTTGATTGTGACAGCACCAAAATTAGACTTGGACAAAATTTGAGAACAAGATCCTGTTATGACAGCTTTTCTTTTTAATTCTATCAAAACTGCAAGCAACCTCTATTAAAGTTGGAAGATACTGGGAGAGAAAAAATGAAGTTCATGGATTAAGAAATGCTAGCTCTTTAGAGCAGCTTCCAATAAAGTATTTATAGAATAGAGAAAAATAAGCAACATTAATACAATGTGACAATGGTCAAAGGTTAGCTGCAAGAATCCAACTACATTTCCAATGAAATTTTGTACCTTATCTAAAAGAAATAGAGCATTATTCGAAGATCTGCAGATATGGAAACAGTATTCAATAGAAGGATAGATAAAGAATAGAATTTGCAGTATGAAAGTGGCGATCACGATAAAAAGATTTAAGCTTACCAGATGCTAGTTTTTCAATGAAATTTATATATGGATTCCAAGAAAGATCCTATAGAAACTCATATTGTTGCATAAGATCTTATATTATCATTAAGTAAATCACAATTGTGTTTAAAACAATTTTATTTAATATGCTGAACTTTTTAAATTCTAAGTAATAGCCTATTTAACCTTTTACTGGTAATTTCAGAGTGCCATAAATGTGCACACTGAATTGTGAAACTAATTTTCTTGAAATTACTTTTTTTAAAGATTTTTTTAAAATACCTAGAGAATATAACAATTTTTAAATAAAATAACATAATGCAGCCATTAATGAGAATGTTTCTTGCCACCTTTATTACCAATGTTGCTTTTGCAGCCAGATTATTAAACTTCAAACTGTTTTGATCCCAATTCAGCGCCAGTTACTGAACTATGACTACAAATACTTCACTTCATAAATAGTTTAGATATCATCAGTTTGTTATTGAGAAAATGCTAACTTTAGAGAACAATAGATGTTAATAAAAACTTTCTAAACAAATACAATCTACTTTTACGGAAATATGTTAAGCACTACAAGGAGTTACAAAATGAGTAAAAAAATTAATGAATTTTATTTAACTTTTTGAGGAAATATATTATTAAATGGATAAAAAAAGCTTTAGCTGAATTAGAAAAATTTTTCTTTTGTTTTTTGAATGAAGATATCTCTATAAAATAATGCTGAACTTAATAGCAGAAGAAATACCCTCTAAATTAGAGTCTTTATTATTATATATTATTATACTATATATTAGAGTCTAATACGTATTTGACCATGAACTATTAGCACCAAATAAAATATACTTACTCTAATCTTTTAAATTGCCTGTGTATTTGTTTGAGTTTTCAAGAAATCTGAGGGGTTCAGATTAGTTTGCAAAATACTCATTTACACTGTAAACGAGCTATCAATTAAATGTTAATAAAACATTGTCCATTAAAATATTTACCAGCAAAGATTTTTTAGGTTTGGAAAAAACGATGGAAAACTCTGTCAGAGTCTCTGATAAACACGTTAATGATCAATTTTAAATTTACTCAAATGGTTTTTTTCAAAACATTTGAAAAAGTTTTTTTTACTTTAACACTGGTCTAAGCTTACTAGTTTTTTCAAAAAGTCAATATAAAGGACAAATATTGAGAATTAAATGTTTTAAGTATTACAAAATAATTTCTTTGTGATTCAAAAAAAAAACGAAGCTATAAACTGCTTAGGGATTGCCTGTGAAGTACGATCGCTCGGATGAGGGAGATAGGGCATGCAAAAGGCGTATATGAGGTAGGGGCAGATGGTTAAATTGTAAAAATAAAGAGACACTAAATTAAAAAAAATATCATAAAATATTGGGTAGGTAGGTTGAAGCTCAAGTACTTTTAGGGAGGTGACGAGTACTCAAAAAGACATACATCAAATTAAGGAGGTGGGAAGGGGGAAGGGTTTAAATCATTTAAAGTGATAGGCGCGGCCATTAAAAATGATAGACGCGTTTTCGTAAATCTTTGAAGCCAAAATCTTTTAACTAATGTGATGTCACTTTGTGGCAAAAAACTAGAAAAAAGCAAACTAGAAATCAAATTTTATTTAGATTTTTTAGAAAAATTTTTTTATTAAAAATATATATAATATATTTTTATGTGATATATTCTAATAAAGACGAAATGTAGTAATTACTATGCCATTTTTTTAAAACTTTTTACTAATTACTATTGTAATAAATACAAACTCCCATACTTGAAATAATAAAAATGAAATAAATATTAAAATAAAAACTTCATAAATTTATCATCTGGTCACGTGTCCGGGGCAAGACGACTGACTTATTATGCAATTTTTACCTCCAATTTTAATAAATTTTAAAAACTACCAATAACTCTAACTAAAGTAAAAAAACAAAAAAAACAACACTAATCGCAAAAACTACTTCTACAGAAATTAAACTTGAAGGACACCATTCATTATATGAAACCGAAAGTAAGGAATTTTTTTTTAAGCGCAAAAAGTAAACTTATGCGTATAAAATTGCGTTAATAGTATTTCAAAAAACCAATTGGTGTTTTAAAATACAAAATGCAAATACAGTTTCGTTTTCACCCAATTTTAAGATTTTTTGTTGAGTTGTTATTTGAAAACCCATCTTGCCCCATTCGCCGCTTTCCCCTATACACCCTAATTAAGATTAATCAAAAAAAAAAAAAAATAATAAGATAAATGCAAAAGCAATCTCGACCTAAAATAAGATTTTTTTGCCACAGACTGACGTCAATAAGCGAAACTTTTTTGGCTTCACTTTGAGATTAGCATTTTATAGCTAAGACCGTGTCTATCATTTTTAAAGGTCTATGGTTAAGATAAAAGCGTACGTACTTTATGGACAACCCTCTTAGGGTTTAACCCTATTACATACGCACCGAAGAGGGAGGGGGTTGTCCAAAGTTGAGAAATATGCGTTCAAGTGCCTTTATAGGGGGACGGAGGAGATTCCAACAAATGCATGTACACAAACGCAAAAAAAAAAAGATTTCACATTCACTTGTCCATTAATAAAAGGTGAACGGTTAAACTGTGAAAAAAATTGATCACGTTCGTGTGCGTGAATAGAATTAAGAGGAGGGGAGTTAGACGACCGAGCATTTAAAACTTATATGAGGGGCAGGGGAGGTAAGACCACCGTAGGGAAGGGTTAAAATCAACAAGAAAACGAACGCATAAGAAAGGGAGGGGAAGGGGAATTTGCGAAGGGCAACAAGGGGGAGGGGAGAGAATTAAAACCTGGATATTTTTGCGTACGTAATGTATGGCCCCTTACAGAATAAGGTATGAACCAGAAAAAAATCTCTGCGTTTATTTTAAAGGCTATTTTTCAACTATTATATTTCGATATTGAATGTTATATATATTTTGAAAATACATAAATTATTTTCTTAAACTTCACCTTAGTAAGTGTGTGAAGTTGTGTACGTGATTGCAAACGCACGTTGCATTTTACAATTGACATTAGTTTTTGCAAGGTCTTCGGATGGACTTTCTTGGTGGCTCTTATTTATTTATTTTTCAAGTCTTGAATATTTTTAGCCTCTTTAACATTGAATCTTAGTTTTCCAATGAATAGGACGTAAAGAAGGACAATATGCTGGATCGCAATGTTTTTCTACAAAATCTTTTTTATGCTCTAATTCTAGTTTAAAGTTATCCCAGAGTAGTGATATATGCTATATATAGCCAAAATAAAGGATTACCCATTTGAGATTTTAAAAACGGCATAAGACGCTTCTTGAGACATTCTTTGATGTATATTTCGGTGTTAATTGTTCCCATAGTTACAAAAGAAGAGCTTCTATCACCACATTTACAAATCGCTTGTCAAACTAAGAATGTTTAAGCAAAACTTGCATATCAAAGCATTTATATTTGGAACTCAGTTTCTTGCGATAAAATGCTGAATAATATTGGTGTCCTGGAGGTCGGAAATATGCAGCACCTTACGTTTCATTATCAATAATCAAACAAAATATTTCAGCACATAGTTTCTTATAGAGCAGCTTTGAAAAGCAAAATGTAACACTTTCTTGTTTTTTTTTTAATTAATAAGACATATTTTTCTTTAATCTTTGTATAGTGAAAGCAATTAATTTTAAATTTTTGTCTGAAGCGTCTTTCACTTATTTAACAAGACCTCGTTGAATATAATCTTAAGCTATTATTAAAATTTTAAATATGCTTTAAAAAGTTGCAAATTAGAAGTGTTAAAACTAAAATATACAAGTTTTAAAATAATTTGTAACTAATTTTTTTGCCTCGCTTACCCAAATCTAAAAACACATAAAAAGAAAAATATGTATGCATATAGTTTAAACTTTACTCCTAAACTATATGCATACAGTAGATGATTCAATTACAACTCCTACATCGTTATGGGACCTATGTTGTTGTAAAGTTTTGGAGGAACTAAATGACCCTATCTTGAGATATTGCGTTCTGCGTGTTTTTAGATTTGAGTAAGCGGGGGAAAAAAAGTTTTTTATTTATAAATTATTTCAAAATTTGTATATATTTTGTTTTATTATATATCAAAATTCTAATTTGCAACTTTTTAATACATTATTTATCATTTAAATAGCTTTAGTACGACCTTAATTAAAAAAACTGATCTAAGATTTGAGTTAAGCAGCATTTCTCTTTTCCTGTGTCCCTGTGGTCCGGTTTTAATTGTTGTACATCTAAAAAAAAATTACCGAATTGGAAGAGGCTAGTCAAATCTTTAATCCAACAAGCCTTTTATGATATTATACTTTTTGAAAAAATACTGAAAAATGTTATAATTATTTAAAAAAAAAAAAGGTTCTAAATATTATTTAAAAGTTATTTTATTTATAATGAAAATAAATATACCTCTTGAGCGAACTCTTTTTGTATTGCTGACCACATGACGTTTATTTCGTATATGCTACTTACAGCATCACCTAATGCTGTATTTTTCTCCATATTTGCCCACTGCATGAGTGCTGTATTTGCTATGAAATTAGATATAGATAATGGACAATTTTTAAAATCATATTTAAACATATACATTTTAATATATACATATGTTATATTAGTATTTAATATAACATATGTATATGTTAAAATATAATAAATGCATCTAATTTTGTATGTAATAAATACTAAAGCAAATATTATTTTATGAATCATTAAAAGGAACTTTAAACAGGTAAAAAGTTGATATCATCAACAGTCATGGTCATAAACAGCTGTTTATGTAGAGCACAACTGGGATGTGAAAAAGACATTAAAGCTAAAAATTCTACTCCATAGAATTATTTGTTTTATAATTAGTTTTCATATGGTCTGTGTTATTAGCAAAATGAGTGGTACTCCAAAATTTTTTATTTAATAAATTTTCGGCAAACCCTCAAACTATGCCACTTCAGGGTTGTGCATATTATTTAGTGTTGTCATATGGTCTTAAAATATTGGATTGGTACTTAATAAAAAAAAAAGTTTTTTCAAAAGTATGCCATAGTATATCTCAAATAAAGCGAAAGTGTACAAAAATTTTTAAAATAATATTCAATTTGTGAAATAATTATTATTTAAAATTTTATTGCATCTTTTAAAAATCTAGGTCTTCCTGTATTTATAAATGGTAATGTACTGATGAGTCATTTACCCATAATCTCCTAGGATTAACTCTTACTTCAAATCTTTTTTGAAAACCATATATCAAATCGATTGCAAATTTAGCGTCTGCTAAAATTGTATTTTTTTTCGTGATTGCTACTTTCATACTCAGGATTCAATTCTTTATCTCTATAAATCGCAAATCCGAACTGTTGCCCTATTTGGAGCAGATCTTCAAATAATACTCTTACTTTTTTAGAAGTGTAAAAATGCATTGTAAACATTGATAAACCTGCTTTTGCAGCCAACCTTCAACCATTGTCACATAGTCGTAATGTTGATTTTCTTTTTCTTTTTTATAAATACAATAACAGGCACTGCTCTAAAGAGCTAGCGTCTCTTGTTCCATCTACTAAAATTCTCGTGTTACTAGTGATTCAGTTTAAGTCTTTTTACTGTGAATGTTTCTAAGTGCACCAAAAATTCTTATTTATCTAATTTTTTTCCTCGAACATTAGTGCTTTGGAATTTTCTTCCTTAGTCGTTTTTTCTTGATTTATATAATGAGTAATTTTTAAGTTGTCTGCTATTTGTTATCGTGCTCTATAAACTTCATCTTTTCTTTTCCAGTAACTTCCAACACTAAGGAGTGGTTGCTTGCATCCTAGTTAGAGGTGAAGATGTGAAAAAAATAAATAATAAATTTTTAAATTTATTTTTTTTGAGTACCAAGTTGACCTTTTTTTGAAACTTCTGTTTTAATTTGATAACCTAATTATAAGCTATAATTTGGTTATTTTTTAAATTTTTTTTTAGTTATTTTCTGGGACACCCGCAATTAAGTTTTTATTGATGTACTAATGTAAAAATGTGTTACATAATGTATGCAAAATTATAAGATTATTCCATCATTTGTTGATGCTACATGGTCACGTGGTCTTAAAATATTTCGATAATTCGTGTAATTATTAATGAATATATATATATATATATATATATATATATATATATATATATATATATATATATATATATATATATATATATATATAAATATATATATATATATATATATATATATATATATATATATATATATATATATATATATATATATATATATATATATATATATATATATATATTGTATGTATGAATAAGTGTCTGGCATATAAACAACTGGCATATAAAAACAAAAGAGGACCTTTAGCCTACATTTCAGACCAATATCCCACAAGAGTATCCACCATGGGTGTAAACCAGAGTTTCTTTTGTCAAAGCATCGTTATTTATCATTCCAAAAAGACTTTTTTTAGTATATCCCATCATTACAATTGCCACAGATCTCCGCATTAATACTGATATTAGAAGACACAAAACGTTGTTTAGTATAACATGCATACAATTATAAAAGGTTTGCAGATATAGATGTGATAGTATACATGCGTGAACATGTATATATGTACATAGGTATGTAATTAAAATTTTAATTATCGTTCCAATTTTAATAACAGTTCTGCCCAGATATTTTTGATCGTTATAAATAATTATTTCTCAATTAACAACATAAATGGTTTAATGTATATACTAAATATAATTGTTTCTATGTAAGTATTTTTACATAAGTATATGTAAATGTGTTTAGAATAAATACATTCACATGTATTTTTTGCACAAAGAACCATACAAAAACAATTATATGTAGCATATAAATTATAATACGCGAGCTCAGAGCAAAAACGTTGTAATCATAATAACAAAATTAATTTTATTGATATTAATTCAATAATAAAAAAAGTGAAATGCTGCCTTAACTCAAACCTCTAGTCAATATTTTTATAGAAGCCAGAAAATAACATTGTTTGATTTTATTTTAAAATTTAAAATTACTGCTAAATTTATTAGAAGTAGTAGTAGTGCCCACTCATGGTTGCAGAAAGAAAAAAGTCGCGGCAATTTTTTTATGAGAAAATTTATTACAAAATGCGTATGCAAATATCTAACATATGTAAATTTCAAATTATGTAATATCAAAACATCTATCAAGTTTAACAGTATTACATTTATTTGAAAATTGTATTGCAGTAATATCTTCTTAATTTTGATTAGTAGCATTAATTTGCCGTTTATGAAGTCTTTTTTTTTATTAAATACTGTTAAAACTTTTTTTGAATAATATGTCTTTGTGACCGAAGTAATAAGCGGGAAGCATTTCTAAAACGCATAGTGGTGGTTCAAATTGTAACGCTTATACATTTTTTTCAAAATCTTTTTTTATTTTTTAAAATAAAAAGTAAAACGTTTATGAAGTTTTATAAATATTTTATACATAACGCATATATAAAGGTATTGTACGCTATAACAAACGAAAGGGAGAGAGTTTTTAAAAAAGTTTAAAATTTAAAGCATTAAATTTATTTTAAAAAACATCAAAAAACCAGGAGTAATTTTTTGTGCATATGTTTTAGATTGTGCATATGTTAGATAGTGCATTTGTTTTAGATATGCATTAGCTTTAGATGATATAAATTTTTGTGCTTTCTCTTTTTATAATGTGTAAAGAAAATTTTCTCTTTTTTAATTAACTTTGAAAACTTTTTTATTCCTCCTAATTGTGAATCTAAAGAACACCATTTTCGAAACCTTCGATCAATTCTGCTCAAGAGCGTAAACTTAATTTTAATTAGAAATATTTGAAAAAGTGCTATAAATACTAGCTTTAATCTGTTCTAATACATCTTAATTGAATATAACTGTCAAAACACAACATTTCTATTAACTTTCACAAAAACAATATAATTCCAACGAAGAAAGGGCAAAAAAATAAGACCATCGTATTCTGCTTGCTAGCGTAATTTTTTAACGTTAACAATTATGTACAAACAAAGTTATATTGACATTAAAAGGTTCTATCTACCTAAATATATCTATCAAAAGAACGTATAATTAAGAAAAATTGGTTATAAACAATCAGAACAGATCTTATTATTAAACAATGATGTCTCATCTAAGCAACGTATTTATTTAAAATCACTTGTATTAAACGGATTATTATAAGCTCATTACTACACATATTTTTAAGTCTATTTCCACATGTTTTTTAAACCTATTATGCTGATTTTAATCATTCAACAAATTTTGAACGGGTGTTCTAAACATTATTTTGAACGGGGGTTCTAAACATTATTTAGACAAGTGCTAATATCCAAACCGCAATTAAATATATATTGTTTGTATTTTATATTTTAACTAATTATTAATAAAGTATCATTATTATCACCAATCATCACTTTGGTCTTTTTTGTCATAAAAAACTAGTTAAAGTATGAAAAACTTTTGTCTGTTAATACAATGTTTTTCTTCAATAATTTCAGCAGCCATGAAAATCCTAGTAAATGAACGAGGCACCTGCCTTGGCTAAAAATGGGATGTTTCAAAAATCTGGACGTAGCCGCGAAAAAAATATAAAGTTCAACGTGTGGTGACTACTTGGGCTGGGAAAAAATCTAAGAACTAACTTTAGAAGACTTAAAGATTTGGATGACTAAAAACTGTTTATTCTGTTTAACTAAAATGGCAAGAAGAGTCTGGTCATCAAAATTATGAGCCAAACGAGGTAAACAGTTTTTTTGCAAATAACTCTGCTTTATTCAGGGGCAAAGTAATAAGATCAGACAAATGAACTAGAGATGAAAAGTTAGATTTGCTTTAATTAATGGTACCGTTGAAGATTTTACAAAAGTCTTAAGAATATAACATCTAAGATAAGATTAAGTAAACTCAGGATAACAGAGTAATAGCAAAGCTTAGCATTAGAAGTGAAATGCACAATTACACATTCATAAAATGAATAAATCTGAGTATAAACATATATGTCTGCTATTTATTTTGATGCTTTGTATACAATATCCGTACAAATCTACATAAAATTATGTGTTTATATGGCTTAGTATTTGCAGAAAAAAAGATGATGATCAGATAGTTGTGTGGTAACACTCTAACAAGACAAGAAGATGAGCCATAATCTAACAGAGATTAGAACAAACCTTGTATCTAACAACAATTGTCTGAAAAGGTTAAAATGAATTGGATATCAGCATGTAGAGAGGTAGCAGCTATTTTTATCAAACCTGACCCAGTCCCAGCCCAAACTATATTTTTCCAGCGGTTGCTTACTAACTGCAACCACTAATTAAGTAATGAGTTAATACAAAACAAGGAAGAGAATTCTTATAATTTCCACCTGAAAAATAATGTTGAATGTTCAATATCTGTCGCAGCGTTTACTTAACATCTAGATGCATATTTGGAACATCAAATGTACAAGTACATAAAAACGATTAGATCTAATTTTAATTTTATTTTAAATTTTATTTTATCTTATATATTATCTTATATATCTATAAAATGTGAAAACTTTAAAATTTTATTTTAAATTTTAGAAATCTAATTATATTATTATTATTTTACTATAAATATATAAGCAAGATTGAAAAAATTTTAAAACTTATTACGCTAAGAGGAGGTCTTAAACCCTACAAAACAACACTGATGACAGCGCACTTAACCACTAAGCTATTAATGAAATGCATTTAGCATTAAAAAAAACCTAGTTATAAGTCTCTTATAAGCTCTACGTATGCGGAAAGGGTGCGCATGTAAAGTTTTTTGCTCTTAAAGTTTTTTTTCAGAATAGTTATTTCACTAAAAAGTATTAAAGTAAATAAGGCATAGGTGTCATATAACCGGTGAGGAATGGATATGTAAATTGGTAAAGACTTGTATTTTACGAATCCAGAAAGCAAAGATATATAAGGAAAAAGTATAGAAAAGTTCAGTTTGGAATAGATTTACAAAAACCCGTATTTTTACGGGTATCTCAGCTAGTTAACAATAATAGCAATAATAATAAAGCTTAAGCTCTGAATTTAAAAATCTTAAAACAAGTAAAGTATTTAAAAAGTTTTCATTTTAAAAAATCCTCAAAACTTATTATATAAACTGTTAACATGGTAAGGCTTTGTTATGTTATGAATTTATTTAACGTAAATAAACAATTAATTACCATTTATCCTTTCAATAGCAAGTTTCAACAGGCACTCATATACTCGTTTTTCTTGGGATACAGCGAAAACTAGAGAAGCATGTGTGTTTAAAACACTAGACTTAATTGGGCTTTTTACTTTGTCCATATCTACATTTCCTTTCTGATTTTTTCTAAAATTGAAACAATTTATATTTTCGCAGCATTTACATTACAAACGAGACAAGTTATAAATTAAAACAGTTAAATCAACTTATGTGATCTAAGATAATACAACTTTAATAATATATCATCTCTCTCTCTATCTCTCTCTCTCTCTCTCTCTCTCTCTCTCTCTCTCTATATATATGTATATATATATATATATATATTATATATATATATATATATATATATATATATATATATATATATATATATATATGTATATATATATATATATATATATATATTTGTATAGTTTGTCACTTACAGGGGCAGATTTTATAAAAAACGAACACTTTCGGGGACATTAATATTATCGGGGACACTTTAGTGTACCCATAAGAAACTTTTATAGAGAATGAAAAGTACATACATCAACTATCAAATAGCCTGACTCGCAAGGTAGTGCTGCTACATTGACTGAGGGTTTGGTTAGGCCAGGCATCAAGGTCAGGCATAGGGTTTAAATTTGGTCATATTATTGTAATCAATCGTTTTTGTAAATAGATGAAGTTAAAAATGAAATATAATATATTTTTATTATTATAATATAATAATAAATAAATAAAAGTAACAAAAAAAAATTATAAAAAATATATTTTATATAACAACAGAACGGGAATAACAGAATGGGAACAAAAAAAAAGTCCCCGAAAATCGCCATCTAGTAGGCTAAATATATATATATATTTAAACAATATAAATGTATTCTACAAAAAGAGTGCTCAATGTTCTTAGAAGAACAGAGCAATTACAAATTAGTAGAAAATCACTTATTAATAAATCACCTAAATATATCTATCAAAAGAACGTATAATTAAGAAAAATTGGTTATAAACAATCAGAACAGATCTTATTATTAAACAATGATGTCTCATCTAAGCAACGTATTTATTTAAAATCTTATCCAAAATTGTACTAGCAATCGTGATTTTAAAAAGATTTAAAAAAAAAAAGAAAAAAAAAGGGTTTTTTTTTTGCTACAAATACTTTGATTATGTCAGGGCAAAGTTTATCATTTTAATTTTTTTCGCCTTTTTAAAATTCTAAAACCTGATCATTTTTTATGATTAGGTCTTTGAATCATAATTCAAAGACCTGGTCAGAAACTCTGGGTTCTGAGCCAGAACTCTAACCACTGCGCCACGGCGCAATAGTTAGAGTTCTGGCTCAGAAGTTCCAGCCCAACCAGCGAAATTAGTACGGAAGGAGGCGTGATCTTCCTGTTAAATGCTCTCCCACAGTGCTCTGTGATAAGACCGTAAGGATTTCTGGGAGCACCTAAATGACTACAAAAAAAAAAGATTTAACGGTAATATGTCGTGGTCAGCAAAATATCATACTGACGCTTAAAACGGTCTTAACTACACCAAGTAATAAGCTGCGGATGGTCTAAAATAAATTATGGTCTGAAACTCAATATAAAAAGCTAGTTCTTCAGTAATTAAATCTTCTATAATTAATTAAAAATTAGTTGTAGAAGTTTACAATTTTACTATAAGAAGTTATAATATATTTAACATTAACCGTTTATTCAAAACAAAAGTTTAAAAGATTTTTCTTTTCAACTGCATACTAAAAATTATTGAAATAAAATGGCTGTATAAAAAATAAGTATAGAAATGATCAGTGTAGAATAGACTTACTATCACTTGTATTAAACGGATTATTATAAGCTCATTACTACACATATTTTTAAGTCTATTTCCACATGTTTTTTAAACCTTTTATGCTGATTTTAATCATTAATCATTAAAAGCACTTAGCAAAATTTTTTCTCATTTAACACTGTGTTTCATTAATAAAGACTCATCAGAAATGATTTCTGATGAGTCTTTATTGATGAAACACAGTGTTAAATGAGAAAAAATTTTGCTAAGTGATTTTCTACTAATTTATATATATATATATATATATATATATATATATATATATATATATATATATATATATATATATATATATCTATATATATATATATATATATATATATATATATATACATATATATATATATATATATATATATATATATATATATATATATATATATATATATATATATATATATATATATATATATATATATATATATATATATATATATACATATATATATATATATATATATATATATATATATATATATATATATATATATATATATATATATATATATATATATATATATATATATATATATATATATATATATATATATATATATATATATATATATATATATATATATATATATATATATATATATATATATATATATATATATATATATATATATATATATATATATATATATATATATGGGCAGTTCCGCAAGAAATGGGGAAAAAAAAAAGCCAAAAACACATACTAATTTCCATAACTCCTTTTTTTAACATTTCAAAAGTGCTTTTAAAGCAAAAAATTTATTGAAAAAAATCATTCTATTATAGCATAATATAGTTTTAAATGTGTAAATGTTGTAAAAACGTGTTTTGAAGTTTATTTACAGTCCAGTTGCGTAGTGTTAAAAATCTTATCGCAAAACCTTAATAAAGAACTTTGATGATGTTATAGTGCATTTTTTTAACATAACTTACATGGTTTTAAATAATTATTTTTACTTTTTTTTTATATCATTTATTGGGTTGTTTTATTTGTTGTTTTGTAATATTAGATTTTACGTTACGATCGTCGCGGTTACAACCTTCACGACAAAAAACAACAACAAAAAAAACAACACAAAAACGTTCGTAAAACTTGATGTAATAACTATGAAACTATGATTTTTTTTTACCAAGTCGTTCGCTGCATTAAAACACAGTTATTTTGTTCTGGAGTGGTTATTTGTTAACGTTACGACCGTCACGCTACGTAGAGTTTATTTTTGAAAAAAGTTTAATACTCTAACTTTTTCATACTAAATTACATGATAGTATTTCACATTTCTAGAAAATTTCAAGTCATTTCCATTTTCGGTTCATTTTTATTAGCTTAAAGAGTGTCAAATGTTAAGACCACCAGTCTTGCGGAATAGCCCATAAATATATAAATACAGTTATTAGCATGAAAATAGTAGTACCCGGAATTTTTTGAATACCATTTTTTACTAGTTACTGAAAAAAATTTATTATATTTATTTTGACACTTTAATCTTATACAATAAAAAAAGTCACATCAATAGTAGTTTTTCATTTTATTTCAGAAATAAAATAATAATATTAAAAAGAGGTTGCAGTCATTTAAACAGCAATGTTATCTAAAATAATAGTTTTTTCTTGTGTTAAACATTAAAAAGTTAATTTTTTAACTTTAAAAAGTTAAAGATAAGTATAATTTTACAATATTTACCCTCGGTATTTCGTTGAAAACCTTTATTTTGAATAACGGTTTCACAACGCCGATGCATTGAGTCATTTAGTCATTGACATTTTTCTATGGATATTGCATATCATCCTTGTTAAACAGCTTTGCATAACTGCTAAACATTATTTCGATTAGCAGCAGAAGCTGATTTTAAACGTCTCCCAATATGTTTTTAATGGGGTTTAGGTTAGGTGACTGAGCAGGCCACCCCATAACCTCAATCCCATTGACCTGAAACCACTCCTTACCTTTGCGATTGTGTTTTTTTTTGGGTTTTTATCTTGTTGAAAGAATCATTTTAGAAAAATATCTTCATTAGCATGAAGATATTATGCTAAAATGATATATATGAGTTGGTCCATAATACCATTAACTTTATAAATAGGTCTGACACCATCATTTGAGAAGCAGCCCCATACCATCACTTCTGCTCCATCATGTTTCACAGACTTAATGGTTTATTTTCTATAAAATTCTTTATCAGCTGGAAGTCTTACATATTGTTTTGAACCTGTAACTCCATAAAGAACGATTTTTGATTCATCCGACCATAGTACGTTGTGCTGCTTTTTGATGGGCAAATAAAGATATTGGTTCGCAAACGGCAAACGTTTGCGGTATGTTTTTTTGTCATCAAAGGGACCTTTGTGAACTGTATGCATAAAAAATGTTCTCTCTTAAGCGTCTCCGAACAGTTGCGTCGCACACTTATAATTCAAGATCTTCTTTACGTGGCTAATGAAAACCGTTTGCTTTTAACTTATCTATCAATTCTACGGTCGTTTTGTGCGGTAGTCATACGTTTTTTACTTCGTTTTTAACTTTTAATTTGGAATTTATGCCCATTTAAATCATCTTTGCTGAACATCTGATAAAATTTTGTATGTATAAGTAAGATTTACCCTCTCTATGATGCTTCAAAGTATTGTTGCATTTTGCTGGTGTACAATGACGTCCTCGGCCCACTTTGAAAAGTTTAAAAACACTTTTACCATTTAGCATTCAAAAATAAGTTAAGAATATATTACAATTAAATTATTTTTTTTTGAAAAGTAAAAAAACCTTCCTAACAGTTTTGCTCATCGATTACTTAGTGGACCATTAATGAGCAGTCGCTATCAGTGGCAAGCTGACAACTTTCGGCATGTTAATAGTGGCTAGTTATTGGCTAGCCAGTTTTGGGGGCCTCAGCAATGGTGCACTAAGAAACCGATGAACAAAACTACAGTGGTACGCTTTATAGATCTACATTAGTCCGCTTTCTATATTATACAGAAAGAGAGTAATAATGAAAATACGAATAGTTTTTTAGTACATAGTTTTTAGTACTGTTTTCATGCATACGTATGTATGATATTTTTATATGTATTATTGACAAAATCTTTAAAGTGAAGTATTTTTTTAAAACTTGAAGAAATTGCGGATACTTGTCAAAGCCTTCTGTTTTTTTTTTTTTGTTTTTTTTTTATATGTAGTCAAAAATGTCATGCATAAATTATACTTAATGGGACATTTACTCCGACCAAACAAACATCCCCGCGTGTTTCTTTGGCACCAAAAAAAATAACCTATACGTACGTATGTATAGAATATAATACTCCAT